CACAAAAATGAAGGCAATATTGTAGAGCAAACTGGTGATATGAATAAGGAGAGAAAAAATGAGACGAATGAGAACACAAATGAGAAAGATGAAAGCAACAAGGAGAAAGATAAGGGCAATACCGAGAATGAATGCAGAAACGAGAAAGTTGGAACAAAAAACACAGAGGTAGCCAAGTCGTTCACGGGTACAAACAAGAATAATACAATCACAGATGAAAATATTTGCAGGTATTATGCAAAAGGACAGAGCAGATATGGGCCCAAGGGCACGGAATGCTCATTCATGCACCCACGGAAATGCCGAAACTGGTTAGGGAAAGGCAGATGTCGTTTTGATACAGAGTGTAGATATTTTCACCCTAAGTTATGCAAACTCTCAGTTAATGAGAGGAAATGCTACAATCTTCATTGCCCCGATTTCCACGTCAGGTACACAGCGCTATATAAGAGAAGAAGTCCAATATAATAGCCCTGAAAATTTTTTAGAGGCAGGTACAAACAGAGGGAGAAACAGACAGGCAGAAACGTGGCAGGAGTACGGATGGAGAAGGGGAAATGCCCAAGACTGGACTACGGTTCGTCATCAAGCCCACACATACTACACCCCCAACTACACAGAGACTACCACACTCCCCAGTATCACTTCCAAAACTGGACCAACCATTGCCAAAACAACACACCCTGGGTCAGGGTGGAGAGGAGGGAGGGAGAACTACCAAAACCTTCCAGAAGTGACACACAATATGGACAATCATTCATATTTGCAAACATTCAAGGTTTAAAGCCAAAGTCAAGAAATAAAGTTAAGTTCATAAATGGCCTCCTATTAGAGTCAAACTCAATATTTGGGGCATTCACGGAAACTCATACAAAAGATTACATGGATGGTGAAATCTGGATTCCAAATTATAATTTATATAGATGCGATAGAAAAACTAGGTCAAATGGAGGAGTAGGTCTGTATATTAAAGAAGACCTGGTATGCACAGAACTACTAAACTCAACTAATGAGGTGGTAGAGGTACTTGGAATTAAGGTAGAGAAACTAAACCTAATTATTATTCTAATATATAAACCGCCAGATACAACGATTGAGGAATTCACAGAGCAGATGCACAAAATAGAGAACATACTTGACAACCTAGCAAACCCAGCTCCAGATATTATCTTCCTTGGAGATTTCAATTTACCGAGTCTAAGATGGAGAATGGCAAACACAAATATCATAGCTGGGAATGACCCGGGAAATAACCAACCACAGGTCAGAGAACTTTTGAGATTCTGTGACAAATTTTTGCTCAATCAACAGATTACAGAACCAACTAGGAACGAAAACACACTAGACTTGTTATTCACAAACAATGATGAACTAATCAGAGACATTACAATCTCAGATACTTCATACTCAGACCATAAGCTCATCGAAGTGCGAACTAGCATAAATAACGGTAGTAGGTCTAAGAGACCCAACAAGCGAGAAGGAATATTCAATCAATTCAATTTCAACAATAAGAGGATTGACTGGGAAAAAATAAATGTAGACTTTGCAACCATTCAATGGGAGACGGTCTTGAGCGACAAAACTCCCACACAGGGAATAGCTCAACTGACAGCTGAAGCTTACAAGGTCTGCTTGAAGCACGTACCTGTGAGGAGGGGCAGAAAGAGGACCACTCTAGAAAGAGAACGCAGACGACTGTACAGGAGAAGGAAAAAAATAACGGAAATGCTTCGGCAGACACAACTATCACAAGCAAGGAAAACAAGCCTAAGCAGGGAGATTGAAGAAATAGAACAAACGTTGAAGCGATCACATGAGTCTGAGGAAATGGAATTGGAACAGAAAGCTATACAAGAGATAAGGAAAAATCCGAAATTTTTTTCACATACGCAAAATCAAAATCCAAAACCTCGACCAGTATTGGACCGTTAATTACAAATGAAGGTACGTACACAGAGGACAACAAAGAGATTAGTGAAATTCTAAGAAGCCAGTATGAGGGTATGTTTAGCACACCAATAAACAACATGAAAGTTGATGACCCAGACAGCTTCTTTATGAATGACATTCAAACTGCAGATAATATAACGGATATTACCACAAACTCGGAAGACTTTGAAAGAGAAATTGACAATATGCCTATGCACTCAGCTCCTGGGCCTGACTCATGGAATTCAATATTCATAAAGAAATGTAAAGTACCAGTAGCGAGAGCACTCAGTGTAATATGGAGAAAGAGCCTGGATACAGGGGAGATACCAGCAGCCCTTAAATCTGCAGATATAGCTCCGTTGCACAAGGGGGGGAGTAAAGCCTTGGCAAAAAATTATAGGCCATTTGCACTAACATCACACATAATAAAAGTGTTTGAAAGAGTGATTAGGAATCAAATTTCTAGTTTTATGGAAAACAATGAATTGCACTGGATTTAGAGCGGGAAGATCCTGTCTGACACAGTTACTCAACCACTATGACAAAATCACAGAAGCCCTAGAAGAAAAGCAAAATGCAGATGTTATATACACAGACTTTGCAAAGGCGTTCGACAAATGTGACCATGGGGTGATAACTCACAAAATGAGGTGAATGGGAATAACTGGAAAAGTAAGATGCTGGATACTCAATTTCCTGTCGAACAGAACACAAAGAGTAACAGTCAATCAGATAAAATCGAGTCCAAGCGATATTAAAAGCTCTGTACCTCAAGGTACAGTCCTTGCACCGCTACTGTTCCTTATTCTCATATCTGATATAGACAAAAATACACGTCACAGCTTCGTGTCGTCCTTTGCAGGTGACACAAAAATCAGCATGAAAATTACCTCTGCTGAAGACATTGAAAAACTACAAGCAGATGTCAACAAAGTTTTCGATTGGGCAGCAGAAAATAACATGATGTTTAACAGTGATAAATTTCAGGTACTCAGGTATGGCAAAAATGAGGATCTGAAACATAATACAGGGTACAAAACACAATCAAATCTTCCCATAGTAGAAAAACAGCATGTCAAGGATTTGGGAATAATGATGTCCGACGATCTAACGTTTAGGGAGCATAACCAAGCAAATATCGCGTCAGCCAAAAAAATGATCCGATGGATTACGAGAACTTTCAAATCCAGGGATTCCATCACAATGGTTGTACTCTTCAAGTCACTTGTGTTGTCCCGTCTCGAGTACTGCTCAGTACTCACTTCCCCCTTCAGAGCAGGAGAGATTGCTGAAATAGAGGGAATACAGAGAACATAAACGGCACGCATAGACGAGATAAAACACCTAAATTATTGGGATCGTCTCAAAGCTCTCCAAATGTACTCACTAGAAAGGAGACGAGAGATATACCAAATATGTAATATACACATGGAAAATACTGGAGGGTCAGGTCCCAAATCTACACAGTAAAATAACAACGTACTGGAGTGAACGATATGGAAGAAAAATGCAAGATTGAACCAGTGAAGAGCAGAGGTGCCATAGGCACAATCAAAGAGCACTGTATAAACATCAGAGGTCCGCGGTTGTTCAACGTCCTCCCAGCGACTATAAGAAATATTGCCGGAACAACCGTGGACATCTTCAAGAGAAAACTGGACGGTTTTCTAAGAGAAGTTCCGGATCAGCCGGGCTGTGGTGGGTACGTGGCCCTGCGGGCCGCTCCAAGCAACAGCCTAGTGGACCAAACTCTCACAAATCGAGCCTGGCCTCGGGCCGGGCTTGGGGAGTAGAAGAACTCCCAGAACCCCATCAACCAGGTATAGTATATTTGTTTACCTCTGCCCTTTTGCGGGATGTTGATGTGATGCAGCTTCATGTGCAGGTTCCTTCCCTTTAGGCTGCCTTGGTCATGTAGGACTTGCTTATACGTTACCTGCTGGCTTTGGCCCTGCTTTTTTTCTCCCTCCTCGAGCTGTCCTCGGATTGGCTTGAGTTGGATGTGGAGGAGTTTAGGGCCACCTCATGGTCTGGTGTGTTGCCTTCGGTGGTGAGTGCGTCATCTGCGTTATTGAAGCTGTTCGCACCACTCCTGCGGAATGCGGTTTCGCGTTTTTTTGCTTCTCGACTTGTGTGTTGGCAAGTGGTGCTTGCTTCTTCCACGGAATCCGCTTGGGCCCTAGCTTTTAGGCTGTCTTTAACTTTCTGTCCGCTGCTGTTTGCAGCAGCGGACCTGCAAACCCCCCAGCGGACCTGGGGGGGGGGCCTTCCCGACAGGGTCATGCCAGGGCTCGGGGTTCTTCTCATCATGGTAGGCCAGTGGTGCCAAATTCGGAGCAGGCACAGCCTTTGGTTCTGTCTTTTTCTGGTGAGTGTGAGGATCGCCCTATGCGCCGCTTAGGTTCTCATAAGGTGTGTCGGCCCTTTCGCGGTTCGTCCCATTGACGGGGCGATGGGGGGAGGCTTGCTCTGTTCGCTCGCGCCTGGTAGCACGATTTGTAGGCCTTTTCCAGGTCATTTTGTGCTTCCTGCGGTGGTGTTGGGTGACTACTCCTCCTCCGGTTGGTTCTGGGCTGGTGGGGGCAGGCCTCTTCTCCTGCGCTCTGTCGAGTCATCTGAGAATGGTTTGCTTGGGCGTGGTTGAGACGACCTCATCTCTAGGGTGGGTTTCCTGCCTTTTCCAACCCCGAAACAGGACTGCATGGGCCTCCGGTTCATTCTGGACTTGCCCCATCTGAACCCGTGGGTTTATTGCCCCTCCTTTCGGATGACTAATCTGTCCCAGGTCTGTCTTCTGTTGGAGCCGGGCGCTTGGATGGTGTCCCTGGACCTCAAGGACGCATATTGGCGCGTCCCGATTCAGATACATAACTTTGAAAGCATCTGAATATGATACTGTATTATGGACAATTACAAGTTTTGATCCCTATGCTTATACCTTACAGAGTTATTTAACAAATACTTAGGAGTTTTATTATTGAAACTAAATTTAATAGTGTATAACTTGATGCACAGTACAGTAGGTGTATTTTCTATAAATTATCAGTTTTCATATATAATTTCAGATATGATTCTTCAAGGGAAAATTTGTATATACACCTCTGCTGCCTTAATGCCAAAAGTGGGAGAACTCTTTGTATTGAAAGATGATATTAGTAAGTATGGTAATTATATATGGTACAGCAGCTGCTGTATTTAAGTAGTTAATATATATTATCTTATTTTAGTGAATTATGATGCCAATTTATTCCACAATTAAGTTTATCTTAGTTTTAATAATAATAATAATAAATAGAGTTTTAATAAACAAAAGTTATATATAACTTCAGTTCTTTCAACATCTTTAAGATATCAACTTTTCTGTGGGGAGCCCCGTCGGCTCTGTGGAACTATCGGACTGATATGAGATATATTAGTCTGGGGCATTAGTCAAATGGAGTTCAGCCAACCGGGGTCCATGAGCCAGAACCTGGCCCACTCAGAGAGACACAGGGAGCAATGGCTTATGGAAACCCCCATGTGGTTGGGGGCATTCCATATCTGCGATCGACTGGGATTAGGCACCCAGAAAGGTAGGCATAACGAAACAAACCTCACTTAGTAAGAAAATTGCAACCGAAGACCGAACAGAGAGGCAGAACTCCCCCAACATCCAATGAAAAGCAAACAGGCAAACATCATACACCACCTCCGTGCTGCTTCTCTGCGCAGTCCTCCCCTCGGGAGGGAGAAGGGGGTACTGCTTCAAGGAGTGCCGGACCAACCGGGCTGTGGTGAGTATGTGGGCCTGTGGGCCACTCCAAGCAACAGCCTGGTGGACCATACTCAAACAAGTCAAGCCTGGCCTTGGGCCAGGCTTGGGGAGCAGTAGAATTCCCAGAGCCCCATCAAGCAGGTATCCCGGATCCCCGGCGCCAGCTACTCACACCTGTAGTTTGTTGGCTGACACGATCTGGGCGTCAACTCTGGCCTCGATTTCTTTTCAGTGTTTTGCCTTAGTGGTGTTCTCTGCTGTTTGTGGTGCAGTGGTCAGGTGTAACTTCAGTGGGGCTGCATGTGCTTAGGGCTGCCTTTCCTAAGCACCCTGTAAGTACTACCTCTGGGTGCTAGGGTTTCCTTACATCGTGTCATCGGGATCCTACTTTCGTAGGGGTTCTTGCTGCTCGGCGTTTATCACACCCTTGGGGAAAGATAGGGTTTGAGGCCATTGTTTGACCTTGGGTAGGAAGTGGTACTGTTGCTGGTAGGGGCGCAAGGTGCTGAGCAGCTTGCCTACCAACTTGTTGGCTGTGTTCCTGTTCCTTCTGGTGACATTGTACTTTTGCGGGATTTTTTTTTTATTTTTGTTTTCCTTGCCTGGAGGGAGGTCTGCCTCACTTAGCTATTGGTCCACTTAAGGTATTTTGGTGACTCTCCTCTAGGCCCCGTGATTATTCACTTTGCAGGGGTTCAGTTTTCAGCTCATCCCCCTTTGTTACTTCTTGGGTTTAACCTGCATTGCAGTAGCCTGCGTAAGGCTTCCCGTAGTAGTCAGCCGGTGGGCCTTGAAAAACCCCATCAGGGCTTGGTAGACCGATGGATGTGTCTTCTGCATTCCAGCTTACCTTGTGCAATTGCACACAGAAATCACAATAACATGATGTATCAAATGAACAAATCCACAAGGGCCGTGACAAGGATTCGAACCTACGTCCGAGATCATCCCAGATGCTGCCTTAATCGACTGAGCTACGACATGGTCAAAAGAGTTGAAACCAGAAGTTGTATCTAACTTACTTGGATCCTGGAGCCTCTCCGAGACACAAACCATGGTTTTACACAACTCCCCCATGCACTCAAGCTATGTCAATAGGCCGTTCTACCTCTTCGCCCTTACTTCATTACACACAGAAATCACAATAGCGTGATATATCAAATGAACAAATCCACAAGGGCCGTGACGAGGATTTGAACCTACGTTCGAGATCATCCCAGACACTGCCATAATCGTGCATGGAGGGAGTTGTGTAAAACCCTGGTTTGTGTCTCGGAGAGGCTCCAGGATCCAAGTAAGTTAGGTACAACTTGTGGTTTCAATTCTTTTGACCATGTCATAGCTCAGTCGATTAAGGCAGCGTCTGGGATGATCTCGGACGTAGGTTTGAATCCTCGTCACGGCTCTTGTAGATTTGTTCACCTTGAGCAAGTTTGAAAGTTGCTCTGTGTCCTTGTCTCACAGTTGCTGCCGCTTTTTCTGGGGAGGGAGCCCCTTCGGCTCCCAGGAGGAGAGGGCCAAGAGAACCTGGCCCTCTCAGAGAGGCATGAGGAGCAATGCCCTATAGAGACCCCCTGTTTGGTTGGAAACATTTTATGTCTGCCATCAACTGGGTCAGGCACTCAGAAAGGTAGGCACCCCAAAACAAACCCTATCTGGTTAAAATATTGGTACTGAAAGTCAAACTGTTGGACAGAACTCCCCCAAACAAAAAAATGAGCAAACAAGCGTGGTGCACTACCATCACCACACCACTGTCTGAGCAGCTCCCACCTCCCTGGCAGTGGAAAGGGGGAGCCCCAGACCCCCCGTTGGGGCTATCCACACCCCCTCCCCCCCCAGTTCTGTGGCTGATGTGAGACCTGGCAGTTGTGTGACTCTGGCTTTAGATCTTTTCCAGTGCTGTGCCTTGTGGCATGGTCCTGTCCTGTGGTGGTGGTGTGCAAACCAGGAGTAATTTCACAAGTACTAGAGCTGCATATGCCTAGGGTTACCTGTCCTAAGTGCCCTGTAAGTACCACCCTTGGGGCTTTGGGTTATCTTCCACAAGCCGCTTTGGGGCTACCTCCGCTGAGGTATTTTGCTGTGTGGTGATTGTCTGCCCTTGGAGGAGGCTGGGGTGTTTCATGCACCTCTGTTTATCTCTGGGTAGGAGGTAGTTTCGTCACTGGTTGGAGTGCAAGGTACTGTGTAGCTTGTTTTCACCATAATACAGCAGCTGGCTCTGTTCCGCCTGGGTCATTGTGCTCTTCCGGGGGTTTTTCTTTTGATTTTGTTTTTCTTGCCTGGTGGGAGAGGGAGGGGAGGGTCTGCCCCCTTAATGTTGCTACCTCTTGTATATATTGATGGTTCTCCACTAGGTCCCCATGAGTGTGCACAATCCAGGGGGTCAGCTTTTAGCAGTTTTTGTAGTTTGGGCTGCCGGTTAGCAGTACCTGGTATTATGTTGATGTCGGTCGATTATGTATACCCCTTCCTGACAACCAACCAACACTTATAGAGTGCTTGTACTTTGATCAGGAGATCACCCTGTACACTTCCTGCTCTTGGAGAGGAGCTCAGCGTCACACATTTAGGGGGTGCGGCTCCAAAACACACATACACACACAGACACACACACACACCTGTGTGAGTATTAGTGAGTATAATTGACTTATATTAGTGACTTATACTTATATACTTATAGTGACTTATTGACTTATATATTACTTAACTTATATTAGTGAGTATAATTGGACAGACTTGATGCTAGGCAAGGAAGTGAATGAGATGTATGTCAAGTTTTGTGAAATATATGATAAAGGCACAAAAAAATTTATACCAAAACAGAGATGCAGGGCCAGAAAACAGGATTGGTTCGACAGAAATTGTGAGAGGGCAAGAGACCAAAAGACACAAAAATGGAATCAGTATAGGAAGAGGCCAAACCCCCAAACATACCAGCGATACAAAGATGCGAGAAACAACTATACAGCAGTAAGGAGAGAGGCAGAAAGAAATTTTGAAAACTGGATAGCGGATAAATGTAAAACAGAACCGGGCCTATTCTACAAATTCATAAACAACAAATTGCAGGTAAAGGATAATATCCAGAGGTTGAAAATGGGAAACAGATTCAGGGAAAATTAAAAGGAAATGTGTGAAACATTAAATGAAAAGTTCCAAAGTGTGTTTTCACAAAATGAAATCTTCAGAGAACCAGTCACAATAAGAATTCCAGAGAACAACACAGAGTGTATAGGTGTCTAGAGATGAAGTGGAAAATATGCAAAAGGAGCTCAGTAAGAACAAAGCAGCTGGCCCAGATGGAGTTTCACCATGGGTTCTGAAAGAATGTGCATCTGAGCTCAGCATTCCAATTCACCTGATCTTTCAGGTATCCCTGAGTACAGGAGTTGTGGCAGACATGTGGAAACAGGCTAACATAGTTCTAATCTACATAAGTGGCAGCAGGGAAGACCCCCTCAATTATAAACCTGTATCATTGACAAGTGTAATAGTGAAAGTATTGGAAAAACTAATCAAAACTAAATAGGTAGAACACCTGGAGAGAAATGATATAATATCAGAGACAGTATGGTTTTCAATCTGAGAGATCCTGTGTAATGAATTTACTCAGTTTCTATGATCGAGCCACAGAGATTTTACAGGAAAGAGTTGATTGGGTTGACTGCATCTATCTGGACCTAAAAAAGGCTTTCGACAGAGTTCCACATAAGAGGTTGTTCTGGAAACGAAAATATTGGAGGGGTGACAGGTAAGCTTCTAACATGGATGAGAAATTTTCTGACTGATAGAAAAATGAGGGCAGTAATCAGAGGCAATGTATCGGAATGGAGAAATGTCACAAGTGGAGTACCACAGGGTTCAGTTCTTGCACCAGTGATGTTTATTGTGTACATAAATGATCTACCAGTTGGTATACAGAATTATATGAACATGTTTGCTGATGATGCTAAGATAATAGGGAGGATAAGAAATTTAGATGACTGTCATGCCCTTCAAAAAGACCTGGACAAAATAAGTATATGGAGCGCCACTTGGCAAATGGAATTTAATGTTAATAAATGTCATGTTATGGAATGTGGAATAGGAGAACATAGACCCCACACAACCTATATATTATGTGAGAAATCTTTAAAGAATTCTGATAAAGAAAGAGATCTAGGAGTGGTTCTAGATAGAAAACTATCACCTGAGGACCACATAAAGAATATTGTGCAAGGAGCCTATGCTATGCTTTCTAACTTCAGATTTGCATTTAAATACATGGATGGCGATATACTAAAGAAATTGTTCATGACTTTTGTTAGGCCAAAGCTAGAATATGCAGCTGTTGTGTGGTGCCCATATCTTAAGAAGCACATCAACAAACTGGAAAAGGTGCAAAGACATGCTACT